GTATTTTTTCTCCTTACTTTTTCAAAGTAAGGGAGATGAGCATATTTTGTAGACAGTGAGGAAAGAACCAATGGAGAGTTTGGAGGTTGTAGAGAAAGGAAATAACTGACAACCATGTGTTAGATGTCACAGGAGAAGTTACAATCAAGGGCATTTACAGAGAATTTAGCCTTAAAAAGGCTAAAGGAAAACCCTTTCCTCTATGGTGAGTAAGTAAGAAAAGTTGAGTTGAGAAATTCTGAAAAGATGAAGAGCTCAGAGGAGTTTGACTCTCCATATACATAGGAAAGATGAAATGATTAGACATCTATTGCCCAGATTTCAACATGTGTCTGAGCTGACCCTCTTGTCTAAAAGTATACATATCTGCAACACACTTTCCAGAAAGAAAATGAGCTGAAACCAGAGTTAAAAAGGAAGAAGAAGGTAGACTAGTTTGTTCTGGTTAAATTGTATAACACTTTTGCTGACACCAAACTTCCCATAACAGTAAAGGTCTATTTAGGGGTGAGAAGTCTTCGGTCTCAAGGCCACATGTGGCCCTCCAAGTCCTCAAGTGCAGCTCTTTGACTGAATCCAAACAAAACAAATCCCCTTAACAAAAGGATTTGTTCTGTAAAACTTGGGCTCAATCAAAGGGCCTCACCCAAGGACCTACAAGGCCATATGTGGCCTAGAGGATCCCCACCTCTGGTATATCTGCAATACATTTTGCCAGTGTTGATGTTTGGCAATAACAGCTGGAACACTTGTCAAAAACTAAAGATGAAAAATAATTAATTGATTGATTAAATGGTATAATAACAAAAAACACAAAAAACTAAAGATGAGCACCACACAGAGAACAATGGTATGGTAGACATAAGCATATAACTAACGAGGAACTCTGAAGAACAGGAGTAAAGGATGTTCATTTCCCAGTAGCTGTTCAGCTTGATTTCAAATCTAGGAACATCAGGCTTTCCTCAGGATAAACTCATCACCTGAAATGTCATCTTCACACAGACTGACACAGCTTTTGATACTCAACACCTTCTCAACACCCTCAGTCAACTCTCTTTTAAGACCAAGGGGCTGAGGGGGGGCAACTACATAGCACAGTGGATAGAGCTCTGTCCCTGGAGGCAGGAGGACCAGAGTTCAAATCTGGTCTCAGACTTGATACTTACTAGCTGTGTGACCCTGGGCAAGTCACTTAACCCCAACTGCCTCACCAAAAAAAAAAAAAAAAAGACAAAGGGGCTAAGGAACTCCTCAGTTAACTCTTCATTTCCTACCAGATGCTCTACTTGGTTTCCACTCTATGAATATGATGTCCCAGCTGCACACCTCCCCCTTTTCATTTTTCTTTTGCGTATTATTTTCCTCCTTTAAGTTGTAAATTCCTTAGGATTGTCTTTATTTATTTGTATTCCCAGCTTAGCACAATACATCCACAGAGTAGGCACTTAATAAATATTTATTGACTATTGGTTAAGGATACGAGAAGACATTATAATGGCAAATAGATGGCTAAAGTGTTACACTGGTTAGCCTCATGCCCCAGGGAGGAATGAGGAAGATCTCTAGCTCATCAGGTGAACACCTACCTCAAACTTTCAGAAAGACTTGATTGGATTTTGATAATGCATTGTTGGAGGGAACTCCTGAATTAATTAGATTATAGATCTATTTGGGAGGAGCTCAAGCAGCATATTCTTGATCATGACTCAGTAATGTAGGAGGCAAGTTTATAAGCATGAGAAAGGTGGGAGCGCAGATTGGGAAAAAAAAGGAACATAAAAAGGTATGGAATAGTCTCTGTTACAAGTTAGCAAGAGGTAAATAAAAGTATAAGTAACAGCAGTAACTGTCCAGTTGAAGTTGGATAGTAGCATGAATCTATAGGGGACCTAGTCAGCCATTTTTTGACTAGAAAGTATTGCTTGACAGTACATGTTTGAGAGTTGAGAAATCAAACACAAAGAATCCAGGACTGGCATTTGGCATGGGGTACTGGCAGAAGGTCAACGAAGTAAAGGATTCTAGGATGCTAGACAGGACTGCATCAAAATGGCAACTCTCCCTTCTAGAGGACAAGTGAAGCCAGCTGGGGACTGATGGACTGGAAGAACAGTAATGGATTGTCAAAGGAAAAGAGGTCACAAAGAAAGCTAAAAGAATTTCAGTTCCATGAAGAAGTGGGACATGAAGGGTAAACCAGATTATGGTCAGAAAGGAGAAGACGGCAGAGGTTAGAGGTAGAACAGTTCTCAGTATCAAGATGAAGTCTCCAACATGTGGCCAAACTAGTTGAAGCAGAATAGTGATGGAAACCATAGGAGTGGAAGAACTTTGAAGCCAGGTGATGGATGGGTAACTAACATAGATGCTAAGTAAGGATAATGGCAAGAGACAGGATAGAGAGGAAAACTTGAAGTCATAAAAGGCAGGTAGAAGAGTAGCATAGAAATTAATAATACCATCTTTTCTAGTTCTCCAGGAAGCTGACTCTGGACTTCAAAAGAAGCTTTCGGGGGGAGAAGGAAAGCTAAAGCAAAGACTGGGAGGAGAATTCATCCTTGTGGGACATTCCCTCTACTGAATCAGAGGTACAACTCATAGTCTCAGAAAGTTGCCTTGAGGCAGCTGGTAGAGCTCTGAGCCTGGAGTCAAGAAGACCCAAGTTCAAATCTGACCTCAGACACTTACTAGCTGTATTACCCTAGGCAAGTCACTTAACCTCTGTTTGCCTCAAACTGGAACTGGCAAACCACTCCAATATCTTTGCCAAGAAAAGCCCATGGGCCCCATGGTCCACGGGGTCATTAAGAATCAGACTCAACTGAATAACAACTGAGAGTGAGTTGTCCCACATCACAAAGCCAGGCAGCACTGGAACCCATGTCTCTCAAACTCCACAGCCTAGACCTTTAGCCTATATACAACACAGCCCTCTCTCAGCAATAGTTAAATTGACAAATATTTTGTTTCCAAATTGGCACACTTTTAGATTTTTTTTTTTATGTTTGCTTAGAGGGCATTTCCCAGGAGGTGGGAGGGATGGTAAATCATACAGAATGCTCCTCCCCACATCCCAGTCCCACATTTATATAAATACACATGAGCAAAAATGAACACCAGTGGTAAGATGGTAAGATGGTGATGATAATTCATGCTTACAGAGCCCTGAAATCCATACACTACAAAGCTTTGAGGTAGGTAAGAATTCTTCCCAATTTACAAAGCAGGTAATACAAGTTCAGCAAGGTTATAAAACTAGATCCCAGTTCTTCTAACGCTCTTTACACTACCCAATCTGCCTCGAGACAGAAGTCATAAAAGATAAACCTCAGAACTTTGTAAAGAAATGAGGAAAGGCAGAACCACCTGTTTTGCTTAAGTTAAGATGAGGAGTTAATTATGTGGATTTGAGCTCTGTAAGTTTTTTTTTAGTATTAAATTGCTGAGTCTAATTCCTATGTCCTCTCCCTACTCTCTCTCCCCCTGTACCCTTTTCCTTTGACTTCTGGTAGATGCCCAGGCAGCACCTGATTTGCTATATCCTAGGTGTGGCTCTAATTACAAAATGTATGTTCTTTCAGAGATTGTTAAATCTGAATTTAAAATCTAAAACCCAAATTTTTAAAACTAAATTATATCTGTGCACCTGTTCCTGAAAACCTAAAACTGAATCCACCTTTGTCAAGCCTAGCAGTTTCAGTTTATTCATGTTAAATCATTAACATCACCATACAGAGACTAAGCTGAATGCCAAAAAAAAAAAACCCCTCATACATATTGAAGAAATGACTCACATCATTCCCAGACTCATCTACTATTGGGTTTTGATTTTACCTGTGAAAAATGCAGAGTTACCTTCAAGTCTTACACTTCAGGAAACCAAGAACTCAGGAGGTTCCCAGTTCTGCTGATGATTTAGACAGCTAAATAGATAGCTCACAAAAAGTGGACAATGTCAAAGTGACTGCTCCCACAAGGATCTTTGATAAAAGTATTGGCATTTCTCTGGATTCCTGCTGCATTCCACAAAAGCAAATGATAAGTAATTAACCTTTCTGTCTCCAATCTGTTTATGCAAGTGAAAAAAGTAATTAACCCTTCTCTCTCTAATCTGTTTTTTCCCTCCTGAATAACTGTGCTCTTTCTCTTAACTCTTATCACATTAAAAAAAAGGGGGGGGCAGGATATTTGATGGAACTAGAATAATAACGACTGAGTTAGACATCACTTTATGGTTTTCAAAGTGCTTTCTGATCTTTACAACAACCTTGTGAGGTAAGTGCTAGTTCTTCTTTCAAATGAGAAAACTGAAGCCTGAGAGAGAGGACTTTAGGGATAATCTAGTCCAACCTCCCTCATGTTGCAGGTGAGGAAACTGAGGGCTGAAAAGTGACCTGAGAAGTCAGTCTGTCCAACCTCCTCATTGTGTAGACCAGGAAACTGAGGCCCAGCAAAAATGATGGGGCTGGAGTCAAAGGTACATTACAAATCCAAATCCTTGTTGTTGTCGTCCTATACTAAAAGTGAAATGAATAGCCCAAAGTCACACAATGACTTGGTGGTAAGGGCCAAACTAGAATGCAGGTCTCTATAATAACTCAATGCCCTCTCTATAATAACTCAAAAGAAATAGCTTGGGGGGGGGGAGCAACATTATCAGGGTTTTCTCAGCATGCAACACTCCCAAGTCCCAATGCAATGTCAGTTGTCTTAGGATCCAACTTCTGCCCCTCTGTCCATCACACGCTCTCCCTGGCAGCAGCCCTTCGCCCCTCCGTCCTGCCAGGCGACTGCCCCAAGGTCACGGTCCCGGAGGGGGCGCTCCAGCGGTGCCCGTGCCCGACCCCTCACCCCTAGACGTCCCCCCCTCCTCGGGCCGGGGGCTGGGGTGGGGGGGTGGGGAGACTACGAAGCCGCCGCCGTCTCAGCAGCAGCAGCCTCCCTTCCTTCCTTCCCACCCGCCTCCCGGGGTGGGTCCCGGCGGGAGCAGCACTCACCGGCACTGGGGGCGGGCGGGATGCGGCTACCCATTTCCTCCAGCCTCCCTGCTGGGCGGCGGCGGCGGCGGCGGCGGCCGAACCAAGGCGAACCAGCAGCGGAGCACGCGCCCCTCGCCGCCGACACCCCCCCCCCTCCCCGCCTCACCCCTCTCCCCTGCAGCGGGAAGCCCCGGCCAATCGGCTCGCGTCTAGCAGCCTCAGACCCAGCGCGTGCCAGCCCCCCCCCGCACCCCCCGCTCCGGGGGGTTCGCTTCTAGGCGTCTAGAGACCCGCCCCAGACCCACGGCGGGCGCCGGAGCCAAGCGGTTTCCGGGAGCCCGTTGCCTGGACGCGGTTGCTTGGCAGCCCGAAGTGGAGGCTTTCCCCGCCAACCCCAGCCCCTGACAGGTTGCACTACCCCTCCTCCCTCCCGTTCCCACACCGAAAATAGTCTCCCCTAGTCGTCGCTGTTGTCCCCACCCCCCCTCAACCCCCCACCGAGCTCCCGGTAGCTGACGGGGCGGGGATTTCTCCTGTTGGAAAATAAATCCCAGAGGTGGAACGGGCTGGATGCAGGGAAGGATGCAGCTCCGCGTGGCCCGTAAAAATAATATTTATTGCCCTTTAAAAAACAACAACAACAACCCACACTGGGGGGAGAAAGGCTTGCTGTGATTGGACCCGTAGATCTGACCCTCAGACTAGTAAGCACTGGTCACGCCTCACCTGAGCAAGGTGAATGAATACTCAGAGCAGGAGGAGGAAAGGGGGGTTTCATGAATTACCTTTCATCCTCAGCTGAGACACGAGTTGGTTACTTCCCTGGACAGTGCCTCACTTAGTCTGCATCCTTTACTTTGCACGCCCTTCAGCAGGAGATGCTCGCACCTCCACAGCATGTGGGTTCTCTTCGGAATTCATTCTTCTCTCTTCTGACAGCTTCCTTCCAATGCCCCCACCCCCTACTAAATATCCTTTCCAGACTTCGGTCTGCATTTTGTGTTCCGAGGGTGATGCACGAGGCATCCCACTTTATACATTTACAAATCTTACTGGCATTGCACCTATCAGCAGCATTCTTTTCAAAAGCAATCACCGCAGGGCGTAGGATCATAGGTATAGAGCCAGAAGAGATCTTACAAGTCTTTTAGTTCAAGCCCTCATTTTATAGGTAAAGAAACTGAGGCCCAGAAAAACTGAATGACTTACACAGTTAACAGAGAGAGACAGACAGACAGAGAGACACAGAGACAGAGGTCTATTTTTTTCTTTTTATGCTCTTTTTAAAGAACTCTCCACTCACATAGCTTCCTATCTGAAGAAAATTCGTCTATATTTTGGAAGATATTGCCCTGAATAATAATATTTGTTATAAAATATTAACAGTAGTATTAAGTATTAACTATACTGTATATATAAATGTATGCAGTACTGTTTTCAGGAGATATAAGCTGCATTATTACCTAACCACAACGTAAGAAGTTCATGAGAAAAAGTTTCTAACAGAAGATATCCATAATAAGGCTATTTTTTAAGTATACAGCCTCACTGGCAATTAAGGAAATGCAAACTAAAACAAGTTTAAGATATTATATTCCTGATACACTAATAAAAAATAAAATAACATTATAAAATCCAATATTGATGGGAGAAATAAGTACACTACTAGAAGTGGCAATGTGACATATTGCCAGATAGCTCTTCAGAAAATGTTAACTCTTCTGTACTATGAGCAGTGGAGAAAAGAAGACCATCTTGAAGGCAGTTGCTGAAGTAGTCAAGAGTGAGCGAGGCTCTTTGTAAGAGAGACAGTCAAGGAAATGTAAGAATACCGGTGGAAAAGATATTGCAGAAGTCCAACCTAGAGTACTTAAAGGCTGATTATATGGGGGTGGGGGAGAAGAAGAGAGAAGAATCAAAGATATATTACAGAGATCTCAAGTGTAGCTATCTGGGAGGATGGTGATATTGCTTTCTTAGGTCCAGAAATAAGCTCTCACTTTATAACAAAAACTTGCAAAAAGGGCATTCAGGAATCATTAAGGCCATGAATCAGGCCAATTAAGGTCAAGTACACAAAGGAAAGCTGCAAGAATCAGGTTGAAGACACAACCAAGTTCACAGTGCCAAGGGACAGTCATCGTTCCTGCTGCCCCAGGCCTGCTTTTCCATGCCAGCTGGCACTTAATAGGTAGTCTCTGCTCCAGTGCCAGAACAGCTGCTGGAAGTGTACAGGTGGTGACAGAAATAGGAAATTCAGGGGGATGAACAGGTTTTGAGGGGGAAGACAAAGTTTGAGCAGTTCTGAGGGATAATGGGATCCAGGGTGTGGCTTTGTATATATGACTGGCATAGTGGAGTAGAGATGAAAGTTTTTGGAGTTGAGGAGGAGAAACTGAATAACTATTAACATGGCAAGTATGTGTACTATGTCAATACATGGAAATGTGTATACGAATTAATATTTCAACACTTCTGGGGATCTAATCTATGCATCATTGTTCATACACCCTCAACTAGTGTTAAGTTCTAACCTTTTTATGCCCTGTCATCTTCTTTAATTCTTGTTCATTCCATTCTGTAAGTTCTCCAGAGAGGACCTGCCCAATGTACTTCAAGATCTCCCTCTTGCTTTTTTTATTTTATGGCTAGCAGTGTAACCTTCAGACTTAGTATCTGTTATCCCTCACTTCTGCTTTAGAATTGACACACCTCCTTTTCTGGTCATGCATATCTTTGATAATGTCTATTATGCCACTTATCAAATGAATCATTGGTAATATGTTCAGTGCTGGGTTTCAGGCATAAGCTAGTTAAGTAATGCTACAATTTAGGACCTTCCATTATTATTACACCCAAACACAATAAAGATACAGGTTAAAAAGGTTTATCATAAAGGATATCAGAATAATAAATATCTTAATACTCCAGTATGTATTTGTCCAGCCATGAATATTCTGCATCCCACTTATATTTATCATTCTTTCCATTTCCTTTCAGGCCACCTGAGATTTTGATTCTTTACAGGCTATAGTTTTATTAGCCATGTAACATCACTCTTAGAGTATTGATACTAAAATATAAAATAATGCTAAAGGTGAAAAGTAGACCATATAACAATTGGAAAAAGATTTGAAATTATGTAAAAAGAATTTAATTTTTGTGGATTTTTTGTTATGGGTATTTTGTTTATGCTGGTATTTGCTGGTATGTGTATAAAATTGCTTTAAATTCATGCTTACGTTCCAATGAATCCACAATCTCATCAGTGTGGGTGTTTTCTCCATTGGTGTAGATTGCAACACATCCAAGATTTCTTCTCTGGTGCAATTCTTGCCATACAACTTTCACAGAGGCCTTCCTGTAGGTCTTCTTACATTTTGTGAGTACCATTATGACATTTAGACTGTCTACCCATCCATCCCTCATACTTGCTTTATAACTGGCCCATTTCTTTTTTCACTCATACATTTTTCTGTAGAAGATACCTTAACTCTATTGTGCCTCAGTCATCAATGGGAATTTAATTCAACTTAAGTTCATGACTATACACATGTTTTTTCCATCCATCTATCTATATAATATGCATATGTCCCTTTCATGGTCCCCTTGAAAATTATTAATGATGAGGTCAATATTTACAAATAAAAAATAGTAACTGAGAAAAAAGAGAGATGCCACCTATTTGAACATCAGCTGGAGTTCTAGCTACCAAAAACACAGATGCCAAGACATTTTTTAATAATGATTTTTATTTTCCTCAATTACATGTTAAAGTAATTTTTAACTTTTTCAAGTTTTGAGTTCCATATTCTATCTACCTCTCCCTACCTTTCTTCTTCCCTGGAAGAGATGGTAAGTAATTCTATATAGATTATACATGTTTAATCATGTAAAACATTTCCATATTATTCATTTTGTACAGGAAGACTCAAATAAAAAAAAGTGAAAAATAGAATGCTTTAGTCTGTATTCAGTTCTTTCTCTGGAGGCAGATAGCATGTTTTAATATGACTCCTCTGGGATTATCTTGGATCATTGTATTGCCAAGAATAGCTAAGTCATTCACAGTTCTTCATTGTACAGTATTGCTTTTGCTATGTACGATGTTCTTCTGGTTTTCCTCACTTCACTTTGCATCAGCTCATGTAAGTCTTTTCAGGTTTTTCTGAAATCATATTATTTGTCATTTCTTATAGATGCCAAGACATTTGATGATATTGCAACTATAACTGTGAACTTGCAGATTCTGAAAAGCAATCTGAAAGTATACAAACTTATTAAAAATAAGTATATCCATTGATCCAATAACTCCAATGGTAACATTTTTTTAAAAACCCTCTGATAAGTGCTATCCAAAAGAAGGTATCTGTTCAAAAATTTTCATTGTAATTGCAAAAATTGGAAACAACCTAACTATCACTAATATGGGACTTGTTAAATGGTGGTACATTAATGTAATGCAATATTGTAACAAAACTAACAAGTATGAGAAATACAAAGAAATCTAGAGTTTTATGAAATAACGTAAAATGAAAAAAAAAACTAGCAGACTGTTTAAATTATATACAAACTACAACCATATAGAGAAAAAGTAAATTAGATGAACGAACAAAGAAACCTAATAGTAACTTAAAGAGAATTATTGAAAAATTCTTATATTTTACATGTTGAGATTAATTTATATGTAAATAGCTATTCATGATACTTATTGACTACATTTGTGCTCAGTGTCGAGTTTTTAATAAAACATTTACTTTAAAATACAGCATAAACAAAATACCTATTACAAAAAATCTACCAAAATTATTAATAGGTAGAGGTGACAAGTATTCCTAATTTAGACCTGATTCTGCCTAAGAAGGCAGAAATGGTTGACAGAATTAAAATGACAAAAACTTTAGGAAACTGATCATACCAAGTGACAGCAGAACTTTCTGAAGTGGTTGTTAAACTTTGAATGTTTGAAAAATTGTGGCAAACAAGGAAGTCACTACATTATTTTACTGGAAGTGAGCAAATGTCCTAAATTCCAAACAGAAGATAGATTCTCCAAATTATAGCTGGAGAGCTTGACTTTGATTCTTGGTAATATTCTAGAGTCCGTATCATTTCCTTA